TATTTTTTCCTTCCACCATAGGCATGATTTACTTCACGTGGAGGCACGAATTTGCTTCTGCGAAAGGCACGGTCGTCCCCATCAAGAAAGTAAAAACATGTTTTTTTTTCTTTCACGAGAGGCATGGATTTGCTTATGAGAGGCAAAAAAACATGAGAGGCACAGCTGTGCTCTCGCAAAAGGGGGAAAATATGTTTTTTTCCTACCGCGAGATGCACGGGTTTACTTCTCATGGAGGCACGGATTTGTGACCGTGAGGGGCACAGTCGTGCCTCTCGAAAAGGAAAAAACGTGGTTTTTCCTTCCCTGAGAGGCACTGATTTACCTCTTGTGGAGGCGTGAATTTTCTTCCGCGAGAGTTCATGCCTCTCAGAAAAAGGGGGAAATGTGTTTTCCTTTTTTTCCTTCCGCGAGAGGCATGATCGTGCCTTCGAAAAAGAAAAAAAACCATGTTTTCATTTTTTCCATCTGCGAGAGGCACAGATTCACTTCTCGTGGAGTCATGGATTTGATTCCACAAGAGGCATGATAGCGCCTCTCGGAAAAAAAATTCTTCCGCGAGAGGCACGGAGTTATTTCTCATGGTGGCACGGATTGTTGCAACCTCGGGTGATGGGAGTGATCTTTACAAAGAGTGCTTCTTAATTAATGATTTAAAGGTCACTCCCACCTCCCGGGTTGTAGTACGCCACTTGTCGCAATCTTCATAGATTCTTTTATTCAAACATTTTATCTCTTAAACCATGGGTTCAAATACTGAACCCTTTTAATCGTTGAATTCCCCGCGTCGAGATTTTAAAACTAAATCCCATGTTGATAGGTTTTGACAAACTTCTTTTTCGCGAAGAAATCAAAAGAAAAAAACCGAACCCGGAGCACACTCTTTTCCTTTTCGAAGGAAGCACACACGACTGTGTCTATAGCCGAAGCAAATCCGTGCCTCCACAAGAACTAAGGCCTCCTTTGGTTTGGAGGAATCTTGTAGGATTTCTAGAGGATAGGATTTTGTAGGAAAAATTCCTACGAAGCCCTTTGGTTTGTAGGAATGGATTTCTATTCCTATATATGATAGGAATCAATCCTTCACATTTCAAAGGGAAAAAAACATTAACCTAGACTCAATGGAAAAAAATCCTATCATATGAATCAAGTGATATCTCTTTCCCTATAGGAACTGAGATGCATGCCACCTCACTTTCTATGATTTTCCTATTCCTATGATATTTCTATCCTATGAACCAAAGGAGGCCTAAACCTATGCCTCTCGCGGGAGGACAACAAATATTGTTTTTTTCATTTCTAAGAGGCACGGCCCTGCCTCTGGCAGAAGCAAAACCATGGCTCTCGCGAAAGAAGAAAAAACATGTTTTTTCTGTTTCCAAAACATGTTTTTTTTAAAAGTGCTTTTTTAAAAGCTAAGAAAGACCAATAAAAACCTAAAAAAATCATCTAAAAGGCGAAAACACGTGCAGATTTTTTTAGAAAGGAAAAAAATTGAATGAAGCGCCCAAAGCGCGACATGTTGCAGGCTTGCACCGGCTGAGAGCGCCCCGCTTCTCTCAGTCCACCCCCATGTAATTGTTGGGGAGACTCCCGAAGGAGCGCTCCTCGGTTGATGAAACAGGCGCCTGCAGCGCCTCAAGCTCGGCCGACCCATATTATTTCCGCAAACTCGCAAAAAAAAGTGCTGCGATCAGCGTCGAACACGCGACCTTAGGGCTTGAAGGGAAGGGCACTAACCATTCAGCCATCCCAACCCATTGTGGAAAACATTCTTTTTTCTCCTTTTGTTTCTTTCTTCAATCGTGGTTTTTCTTCTAGACTTTTTCATTCGGTTTTTCATTTTTTTCCTTGTTTTCCCTTTTTTAAATGCATGGATTCTTGAACAAATCATGAAATTTTTCGTCAAAATCGATCAACATTTTGTCCAAAATCTATGAACTTTCATTCAAATTCATGAACTTTTTTCCAAAATCGATGATTTTTTTAAAAAAATTAACTTTTCTAAAAATGGATGAACTATTTTGAAAATTTGATGAACTATTTTTCAGATTGAATAAACTTCTTTCAAGTTCAATGAAAGTTTTTCAAAATTTTGATGAACTTTTTCAAATTCAATGAACTAGTTTTTAAATTGATCAAAAAAAATTCAAATTTCGATGAACTTTTTTCAAAATCGATGAATTTAAAAAAATTGTGTGCTTTTCTAAAAATTGATGAACTTTTCAAGTAATTTTTAAATTTAAGTTAACCTTTTATTAAAAGCAATAACTAATACTGTTTCTGTTCAAGGACACCAAGGCGAGCTTTGTCCCGTGGTTGTTGCGTTAGACTGTAGACCTGACGTGGTGAGTTTGAACCCAGCTCTCCCATTGTTTTTCTTTTCACGTTTTCCTTTGTCAGCAGGTAATGGGCCAGATTTTAAACCGGCCCGATCGAGAAACGTACAGGCGCCAAGTTTCTCTAACCAGCGCTGAAGGCGCCGACTAGGGGCGAAATCACTAATTAAGGAGTACTCGTTGCAAAGAACAATCCACTTTCCCAAATCGCGACAAATGGCGCACGCAACTTGGGAGTTTTTCCTTTTTTCGTAAATCCGTTTATTCAAAACGTTTTATCTTTTAAACCGTGCGTCCAATCTCGAACCGTTTTCACCATTGGACTCCTCGCGTCGAGATCTTCAAAACTAGATCTATGTTGATAGGTTTTGACGAACTTTTTTTTTCACGAAAAAAAGAAGACAAAGAAACCGGACGAAAAAACCGAATCGGGAGCACGGTTTTTTTCCCTTTCCGAAAAAGGCACGCCCGTGCCTCTAGCAAAATCACAACCGTGCCTCTCGTGGAAGCAAAACCGTGACTCTCGTGTAAGGAAAAAAACAGAAAAACATGTTTTTTTCCGTTTCCGAGAGGCACGGTCGTGCCTCTCGCAAAAGCACAACCGTGCCTCTCGCGAAAGCAAAACCGTGACTCTCGCGAAAGAAAGAAAAAGACAGAAAACGCGTATTTTTTCCCTTTCCGAGAGGCACGGCCGTGACTTTCGCGTAAGCACAACCGTGCCTCTCGCGAAAGCAAAACCGTGACTCTCACGAACGAAAAAAAACAGAAAACACGTTTTATTTTTTTCTTTCCGAGAGGCATGGCCATGACTCTCGCGAAAGCACAACCGTGCCACTCGCGAAAGCAAAACCGTGACTCTCGCGAAAGAAAAAAAACAGAAAACGCGTTTTTTTTCGTTTCCGAGAGGCACGGCCATGACTCTCGCTAAAGCACAACCGTGCCTCTCACGGAAGAAAAACAGTGACTTTCACGAAAGGAAAAAAAGAAAACACATTTTTTCGCGATCGAAAAGGTAAGAAAGACCGGGGAAAACCAAAACATCGAAAAAACCCAGAAAAAACCGTTTAAAAAGCCGAAAACGCGTGCGGAAAAATAAAAAAATAAAATCGGAAGGGAGCGTCCAGAACGCGACACACGGCGAATGGCTGAGAACGCGCCAAGTGACGCTGATCTTTGCGAGGCTCCCGAAGGAGCGCTCGTTAACTAGTTCCTCCCCTAGTCCCTCCTCGGTTAGTTGCTCCCAAATGAATGGGCCAGAAACTGTGTACGTGTTGAAAGCCCATAACACAAAATAGATATATCTAGAAGAAAGTATAGTTTTCCCCCTTAAATCCTACTTGATGGATCAATATCCCCCTAAACTCTAAAACCGTATTATTTCCCCCCTAAACTCTGTGAAACCGGATAAATGTGGCCCTCGGACCTCGGTGGTTTTGGAGAGGATTAAAGGTGGTTTTGCTTGTAACGGTGCTGACTTGGCAAAAGTAGCGTCGTCCGCTCGAGCTTGAGCTCGGCCGTGCACACGCCAGCCAAACAGCCCCCGGCCGCAGCCCGTCAGCCTCATTCTTGCTCATGCCCTCCCTGGATGGCCCTGTTTCTATTGCGCGAGCCTCGTCGTGGACGTCGTATGTCAAGCACGCCGAGGTTGGGCCATGGAAATCTTCGGATGGAGGTGAGCTCCCGTTGGTTGATGGCTTCTAGTGCTCCCCTGTCACAAGAACAGAACAAACAAGAAAAGTAAAATCAACCATTGATTGTAACACGAGGCTGAGTCCATGGCGTGATTAACTGAGGCCCGAGAGCTTGCAGCGCATGATGCACCAGAGACTCCTCATCGGAGTGCAACTCCAGGACGGAGACCGGGCTGAGTTGCCACGACGAGTGCACCTCCATGTCCGTCTTCCACCTCGCTCTCTGCCGCTCATACTCGTCTTGGTCCCCAAACTCCATGGTACGGGTACCGCACCGCCGCCGACGCTGACGCCAGTGAAGCACCCACCGCCAAGATTTTCCCAGCGCAAAGCACTCCTTGATCATGGCCTTGCCGCACAGCACCTTGCTCAACACAGATATCAGGCCACTGCCGGCGGCGGCGCACCTCCTCTTCTTTAACCCGGCGTTGTGGCGGTGCCGTCCAGGGGAGGGCATGCGCGTGAGAGAGGCTGCGGGGCCGCGGCCCTGGGCGGTTACAGGTTTGCATTGGGGTGGCTGGGCTGGCGCGTGGACGACCGAGCTCGGCCATGGCCATGGCCGCCGAGCTCAAGCTCGAGCGGGCGACGCCTGCCAAGTCAGCATGATTAAAACCACCTTCAATCCACCCCAAAACCACCCCAGGGCCACATTTATCTGGTTTCGTGGAGTTTAGGGGGGAAATTATCCGGTTTTAGAGTTTAGGGGATATTGATCCATCATGGAGGATTTTAGGGGGAAAACTATACTTTCTTCGATATATGTATATACTGATGGAGGCCCGAAAGCACACAATGCACACCCGAACTCTCTCGTTCAACAAGGTCAAAACGGCTAGATGGACTCCTGCTTGTGTTCCAAGTAATTCTTCGTGATCTGCAGGCGCGTGACTCTGGAGCCTATAAATCCACGCGTGCCGCTGCCCACACGGATCATAAAACCCTGACAAACACGTCTGCTTCCGTTGTATCGATGGCGGCTCGCGTTTTCCTCTCGTCGTCCAGGATCGCCGGCCAGCTCGCAGCCGCAAATAAGCGTGGCGTCCGTTCGTACGCTGCAGCGGCGGCGGCCGTGACGCGGCAGGAGCCTTCAGCAGCCGGGGCGGCGAGCAGGCTGGCGGCGGCGACAGAGGAGGCGACCCCGAAGAAGGAGTTCTTCTGGACGAGGGACCCAAAGACGGGCTGCTGGATGCCGGAGAACCACGTCGACGTCGCAGACCCTGCCGACCTCCGCGCGCGGCTGCTCGTCTCCAAGAAGTAAAGGATCGGTTGGTGTGACGACGATCCGACTCGATCGACGAATTCGGAGGATTACATTAGACGGGAGATGTGTATGGTGGAGTCTTCTGGAATTGAAAGCTGCCTGCTCGACGGATCTTTCTTGTTTTTAACGCATGTTATCACGAAGTGGAGGTTGTACTGCAGATTGATTGACATGCATGATATTTTCATTATATTAGCCTCTCTTGTGTTTACTCTCTATTCATACTAATTATGTATATGCATGATTTAATTTCCTTGGTCTATCCGTGTTCTTGACCAAATTCGAGAGCACCTTTCAAAAAGTTAATTAGATTTTATTTGTTTGTCTATTTCTACTCCCTCTAGCAATCCACACGCCAAATCCAATTTTTTTTCTCGAAATAAATTGCTTCGTCAATTAATTAAGAAAAAAAATTGCCTTGTTAATTTACGAAAAACCGGGCTAAAATCATTACAATCATATCATAATTGAAATACTCACCAATCATGAGACCCCACGAGCACACATGCAACCAGTGGCGGAGCCCAGGGGGCGAGCAGGGGCCTGGCCCCCCCTATCGATCGACAGTTTATTAAGAGGCTACGAGTAATTAGCTACTGGGCTGAGAAATATACGTACTATGGCCCCCCTCAACCCCGAGGTTATGAAGAAATCTGGAGGAAAGGCCCATAAAAAAGCCCACTGGTGGCCGTAGCAATAGACTCTAATACTTGGCCCGTAGCGTTACCCTAAATCAAGCCAACCCCCGAGCGTGATTAACCTAAAGCGATTAGCGCTGCCGGCGGCCGCTGCCTCGTGCCCTCACTACTTGCGAAGTCAATTAAAATCAGTAGACACATGCTTTTGAACTGGCGAATCATACAGATCCCCCAGCTCTGTGAATTCTCTTGTTGTTCAGCACTTCAGCCACAAGGTTAGTACTATTGAGAACTACTGTATCTACTAATCCCTCTCAACTTTAATCTTATACATTTTCAAGTTGTCATTTGATGCTGTGAGTTATGATGTTAATTTATTTTATTTCATTGGTAACTAAGGCATATATAGATATACCATAGACAGACCCTATTTTAGTTGTGTTGAAGCAACACAATAATATAGTATTATCGTACTTATTTTTCCGCGGTGAGCATTTTCCTTTAATCAACATAACTTGCCCCCCCCCCCTATATCCAAATCCTGGCTCCGCCCCTGCATGCAACCCGCCAAACCTTCCGAGCACATAACAACCGTAACTCCCGACGCTTGTACAACACAATGAAACCCGACAAGAACATCTCAACAAAAGATAGACCACACCATAATCACAATGACGACCCAAATCGTGAGCATGAGCCAAGGGGACAAAATTTTCCATTAAGCAGCCGTGGGCGCCTTACCTATGGCGCCACTCTTCTTGCCTTTGCACCTTAGTGATTTCTCCTTCACTATACCAGTCCGAAGGCAATCACTCGCCGTGCATTTACGGGTTGAATCATGTCCCTCACATGTGGTTGCATGTGTGTCAACCATCGTATGCTACACTGATAGAGGCGTTGGAGGCACAACCACGGCAATGGCCCCTCCCTCAGCGAAAGACATTACAGTGGGCAAGGCAGTCGACGATGGCGAGTTGCCTGCAGCTCTAGGGAAGAAACAACCATAGAGCTCCGCAACCTTGTTCTCCACTGAGCCACCAACATCGACCTTGCTAGGAGGAGCAGTGTAGGAGCGGACTACAACAAAACTGGCACAAGAGAGAGCTTTCCCAGAGCAGCCTCTGCCCGCTCTAGAAAGCTCCCAACGCGCACCAGCAGCTCAGCTTGGGCTGCTGGAGTGGATTGCAGCAGTACAACGGACGGGGTTGCCGAGTCAACGTGAGCGGAAACGGCGGATGCCTAAGACCTGCGATGAACCAACTTGGAGGAGAGAGGGGATTCCATTGGACCCCCATGCCACGTCTCCAACGTATCTATAATTTTTCATTGTTTCATGCTATTATATTATCTGTTTTGGATTTTTATATGCATCATTATGCTATTTTATATTATTTTTGGGACTAACTTATTAACCCAGAGCCCAGTGTCAGTTTCTGTTTTTTTTCTTATTTTTGAGTTTCGCAGAAAAGAAATATCAAACGGAGTCCAAACGGAATAAAACTTTACGATGATTTTTCTTGGACCAAAAGACACCCAGAGGACTTGGAGTCCAAGCCAGAAGAGCCACGAGGCGGCAGTAAGGGTGGAGGGCGCTCCTTGGGGGGGGGCTACCTTGTAGCCCCCTCGAGACTCCTCTAACCTATCTCTTCGTCCTATAAATTCACATATATTCCAAAACCCTCAGGGGCAGCCACGAAAACACTTTTCTGCCGACGCAACCTTCTGTACCCGTGAGATCCCATCTTGGGGCCTTTTCCGGCAATCTGTCGGAGGGGGGTTCAATCACGGAGGGCTTCTACATCAACCATATTGCCCTCCCGTTCAAGCGTGAGTAGTTTACCTCAGACCTACGGGTCCATAGCTAGTAGCTAGATGGCTTCTTATCTCTCTTTGATTCTCAGTACCATGTTCTCCTCGATGCTCTTAGAGATCTATCCAGTGAATTGTGGATCTATGATCAGATTATGTATGAATATTATTTGAATCTTCTCTGAATTCTTATATGCATGATTTGATATCTTTGTATTTCTCTTCGAATTATCGGTTTGGTTTGGCCAACTAGATTGGTATTTCTTGCAATGGGAGAGGTGCTTTGTTTTGGGTTCAATCTTGCGGTGTCCTCACCCAGTGACAAAGTAGGGGTAGGAAGGCACGTATTTGTATTGTTGCCATCAAGGATAAAAGAGATGGTCTTTTTATCATATTGCTTGAGTTTATCCATCTACATCATGTCATCTTACTTAAGGTGTTACTCCGTTCTTTATGAATTTAATACTCTAGATGCATACTGGATAGCGGACGATGTGTGGAGTAATAGTAGTAGATGTAGGCGGGAGTCGGTCTACTTGAGACGAACATGATACCTATATGCATAATCATTGCCTTGGATATCGTCATAACTTTGCGCTTTTCTATCAATTGCTCGACAGCAATTTGTTCACCCACCGTATTATTTACCTTCATGAGAGAAACCTCTAGTGAAACTTATGGCCCCCGGGTCTATTTTCTATCATATTTGTTTCCGATCTACTACTTTGCAATTTTTTATTTTTAGATCTATAAACCCAAAAAAACAAAAAATATTTAGTTATCTTTTATTTAGTTTTATCGATCTCTATCATATCTCACCTTTGCAATTGATCATGAAGGGATTGACAACCCCTTTATAGCGTTGGGTGCAAGTGTTTGATTGTTTGTGCAGGTGCATAGATTGGGGACTTGCTTGTACCTCCTACTGGATTGATACCTTGGTTCTCTAACTAAGGGAAATACTTATCTCTACTTTGTTGCATCACCCTTTCCTCTTTAAGGGAAAAACCAACACAAGCTCAAGAAGTAGCACCCCACAAGGAGTTGGAGCTCATCAATGCTGGGTACCAAGGCGAGACAGTGGCGGCATGGCAATGCATGCTAGTGAGCTGAATGGAAGCCAAGCATTGCGACATCCTCACACCAAGTGGTCATTCTCCAAATAGCGGGAGCACCTCAATGGATCTCTTGAATCAGCCGCTTGATGCCCAAGAGCAAGACACTGGAATAGGACGAGGGGGCAATGCCAGTGTTGGCGACGCAGGACGGCGCCGACGACGCCGAGGCAACACCTCTTGCCATCCTCCACTCGCCACTACCTCATGCATCACACACAGCTCAGCCAGCAGAGAGCTTTTGGCAGCCAGCAGCGTCAATGGGGCCAACTCCTTCTCATCCCCATTGTTGACATGCTTGTTAGTGAGGGAGGCCCAAGACACAGGCTGCCCTGTGTCCAAGCTCACGGTCGTCACAAGGACGGGGAGAGCGTCAGAGAAGCGATGAGGCGAGCTCTAGAGGAAGATGGGCCGCTGTCAGGGATGAGTCAAAGACGGGCACTGTCAAGGACGAGTCAGAGATGGGCGCTGCTAGTGATGACAGTGGTAGGATGGAGGCCGGACCGGCAGGAGGAGCGGGAGCGGAGGGCGCCGTTGCTGGCATAGACGTTGTTGCCTCCTTCCCGAGGAGTGTATGAGTCACCCTCCGCCCATGGACGGCTAGCTCGGAGCGGCGAGAGTGGTGTTTGGAGCTGGAGCAGCGGGCGGTGGGGAGCCGGTGCATGACATGGTTGTAGCGGTCGTCTTCGTCATGGCCGGCGTAGATGCGGGCCAAGGTCAAGGATGGACAGGCATGGCGCCACCCCGTCCATCTCCTCCAGTACCGTCGGCCTCGGCTCCACGGTCACGTGTCATCCTTGTCTCCACTTCAACAGGGCCGCTCCTATCGTGGTTCTAATCTGACAGTAGAATGGGGGTAGGAATGTAGAGGCAAGATCTTACCTATGGAGGAGTTGTACACGAGAGTTTTACGATTTCAGGCCCTTCTCAGAGGAAGTAACAGCCCTACGTCTCGGAGCCCGGAGGCGGTCGACTGGATTATATGCGTGTGTGTTACAGAAAGTGTGAATGAGGGAGTCCTGGATTAGGGGGTGTCCGGATAGCCGGACTATACCTTCGGCCGGACTCCTGGACTATGAAGATACAAGATTGAAGACTTCGTCCCGTGTCTGGAAGGGACTTTCCTTGGCGTGGAAGGCAAGCTTGGCGATTCGGATATGTAGATCTCCTACCATTGTAACCGACTCTGTGTAACCCTAGCCCTCTCCGGTGTCTATATAAACCGGAGGGTTTTAGTCCGTAGGGCGAACAACAATCATACCATAGGCTAGCTTCTAGGGTTTAGCCTCTCTGATCTCGTGGTAGATCTACTCTTGTACTACCCATATCATCAATATTAATCAAGCAGGACGTAGGGTTTTACCTCCATCAAGAGGGCCTGAACCTGGGTAAAACATCGTGTCCCCTGCCTCCTGTTACCATCCGGCCTAGACGC